TATGAAAAGAAGGCTTTTAGCATAATTGCATCAAAATTGGATGATGCTAATTTTTCACATATAATTGCTTGTAATGGACAAGCACAAGCATAAAAGACTCTTTGTAACATCCATGAAAGTAGAAACCTTGCCAACATTCTATGGATAAGGAAGAAGTTCTTAATGATAAAAATGGAAGAAAGAGATGACTTCATGGCTCATGTCAATAAGGTAAAAGCACTTGCAAACCAATTAATAGTTATTGACAAGCTAATTGATAATAATGACATTGTATTGATATTGTTGATGAACCTTTTGGAGTCCTACAACTACTTCATTGTCGTATTAGAGTCTATCAACATGAAAGAATTTACCATGAATTATGTCATGTTAGGACTTGCTCATGAAGTAACCAAGTGAAAAGAAAAGGAGCTTCAAAGTGATGATTTGGCTTTATTTTTAAGACAAGGCAAAGATAGTTATTTTCATCAACATGATTATTAAAAAAAATATGAAAAAATACTATATTTGTAGAAAACCAAGTCACTTAACTAAGAATTGCTACAAAGCTAAGAAATGAGATAAGGAGAATGTAAACAATGCTTATGATAACTTTGATGGAGATGACTATACTTTCATGGCAAGTGAAGGAGCCTCCATAGCTCCAATATCTTAGTGGATTATAGATTTGGATGCTATTAAGTACATGATACGATATAAGTATTCATTTGATATTAATGAAGAAATTCCAACAACTAAAATTTAGTTAGGAGACAATGGCATGGTATTAGCCATTGGAATTGGATCCATTGTTGTGAAAATTATTGTGATGGATCAAATAAAGATGATCAGGTTGAAAGAAGTCTTACACATGATAAAGATGAAAAAGAACCTTATTTTGGTGAACAAAATTATATTACATAATTGTAATATTCAATTTGATGAGAATGGATGTTTTTTGAAGACATTGGATGGATAACATGTTGCCAAAGACCTAAGAAATGGCAATCTCTACTTCTTCAATTGTAAGAAGATGAATGAAGTAGAAGTGGTAGCATTTGCTGATTTTTCTTAAGATCAAGACAAGTTTAGAATTTGGCATTAATGACTTAGTCATTTAGATGCCAAAAGAATGAAGGAGCTTCAATCCATGATAAATGGCTTGGATCTTGGTCAATTCAACTACAATGCCTTGATACTTACTTGCAAAAGTTGTACACAAGACAAACAATAAAAGGCTTCATTTCCAAGAGGAGATGCAACATGTATAATAAAATTATTAGAAATTGTGCATTTCGATGTTGGGAGACCAATGAAGAGACCATCAGTTGGAGGAACAAGGTACTTTGTCACATTTATTGATGATTTTTCAAGAAAAATATGGATTTACATCATTAAAGCTGAGAAAAAATATTTTTTAAGATTTAAGGAATTTAAGGCTCTTATAAAAAAAAAATATAAGTGCAAGCTAAGAGTGTTTTGCAAGGATAATGGAGGTGAATATATGTCAAAATATTTTGATGAATTCTTGAAGATTCAAGGTATTGCAAGACAATCCTCTATTTCATATAGTCTACATGAAGTTGTTAAATGAGCAAATTATACCATTATGGAGATGACAAGGAATATGCTTCATACACAAAATCTTGGACATGAGTATTAGGTAGAAACAATGGTAAATGCGGTGTATATAAGGAATAGATGCCAAACAAGTACACTCACATCAATGACTCGAGAAGAAGCTTGAAGTGGCAAGAAACCTTATATTTTACACATGAAGATTTTTGAATGCATTGCCTATGAAAAGATTTTAGATTCTATGAGGTCAAAACTTGATGCAAAAGGTACAAAATATGTGTTTGTTAGATATTATGAAGGTACTAAGGCATATAAGCTAATATATTTAGAAACCAAGAAGATCATCAAGAATTGTGATATAGAGTTTTTGGAACATAATAGTACTTATGAGTACTTGGAGATGTGTTCAAGTAAAAATAATAGTATATTTGTAGATATATCTTCAAATTTAGTAAAAAAAAAGAAGAAGATGATGATATTGATGATTGTGGAAATTCAAATGAAGATGAAGAACTAAAGAAGGTAGACCATGGTGTGCCTATAATTACTAGAACCAGCAATGAAGATAATAAGGATGTTGAAGATGATGATGATAATGATGAGAAGTACTAACTTTTGAATGTGAAGAAGTAAGTTTTAAGAGAGAAGAAGCTTATAAAAAAACCTTTGAGTGAAAGAAGGTGAAGCTTTATTTAGTGAAAAGAGATATCTTTTGAGAGATAAACAATAACTTCGTACATAAGAGGAAAACTACATCTTTCTTCAAATAAGTAAAGAATATGCTAATGTTGCACTTCTTGTTGATCCATTGAATTTGTATAATATAATGAAATCCACAAATGCTATGAGGTGAGAGAATGCCATTGAAGAAGATTACAAATTACTCATGGACAATGAAATATAGAAATTAACTCAACTTCCACCAAATCAATCTTCAATTGGTTATAAGTAGATATTCTTGTTGATCCATTGTATTTTTGTGATGCAATAAAGTCCATAGATGCTATGAAGTAGAAGAATGCCATGGAAGAAGACTACAAATTATTCATGGATAATAGAACATGGGAATTGACTCAACTTTCACCATATCAATCTTTAATTAATCATAAGTGGGTGTTTAGAATAAAAACAGATGTAATATACAATGTTATAAGATCTAAGTCTAAATTGGTTGCTAGAAGCTATTCACAAGTTACTGAAATTGATTTCAATGAGACATTTATTCTTATGGCAAAATTCACCACCATTAGAATCACTGTTGTAATCGAGACAACAATAGATTTTGAGATGCATCAAATGCATGTAAAGTCGACTTTCTTGAATGAAAATCTAAAAGAAGGCATCTACATGGATCAATTTCAAGGATTTGTGGAAGAAAGAAAACAACATCTTATTTATAAGTTGAAGAAAATCTTATATGAGCTCAAGCAATTTCCAAGGGCATGATATTAAAACATTGATACATTTTTTGTAAATGAAGGATTTGAAAGGAGTGAATTTGATGATTCCTTGTATATGATGCAATCAAGTCAGTTCATATTCATTGTCATCTTTTATATTAATAACTTGATTATCTTAATTAATACTATAAAGATGATGGATAAATTGAAAGCAAAGTTAGAAAAGGAGTATGAGATAAGTGATTTGGAAGAGCTTCACTATTATTTAAGAATAGAGTTTGTGAGAGATTGTGCTAAGAAGACCATTACAATGACCCAAAGCAAGTACATTGAAGAAGTGTTGAAATGATTCAACATAGAAGAAAGTAAGCCTATTAAAAAAAATCTGTGGAGGCTAATTTGAAGTTGATGAAGCTCATGGATGAAGAATTTGTTAAAGCAGAAGGTCAAATATAAGGTAGTAGTAGATTCATTTATGTATGCAATCATTGGTATAAGGATAGATCTTGCATATGCAGTGAGTGTTGTGAGCCAACACATGTCAAAGACTGGACCAATCCATTGAACAACCATCAAAATGATTATGGGGTACTTAAAAGGGACTTTGCATCTCAAATTGTGCCTTAGAGGTGATAACATTACTTTGTATGGTTATTATAATGTGGATTGAGGTAGAGATGTAAATGATAGAAGATCAATAATGGAATATGTATTTTTTATTGGAATGGAAGCTATTTTATAGAATTATAAGAGACAACCAACAATTACAAGTTCAATAATAGAGGTAAAATATATGGCAAGAAACCATGGTGCAATAGAAGCAATATGGCTAAGACAAACTTCTAAAAGACATTGGAGTATTGCAAATGAAAGCAACTCTAATGGAATGTGATAATTAAGGAAGCCTTCTATTTGTAAAGAATCCAAAGCATTATTTAAAGATCAAGTACATTGACATTCAATATCACTTCATAAGAGTGAAGATTGAAATAGGAGTAATTAATATGAAGTAATATGCAATAGAAGACATGCTTACTAATTTGTTGATAAAGGTAGTAGTAAAGGATAAACAAAACATCTTGACAAAAGCATTAGGATTAAAAGTCTTTTGACCAATAGCAAAGTAATGGTATTAAAGTGAATAAATAAAAGTGAAAATAAAATAAATTATTTTATAAAAGATATTACCTTATGTATATTCCTAATGGTCAAAAGATTGACTCTTGGTGGTTAAAAAAGGCATCCTATGGATATAGGATGAATTCAAGGATTAAGAATCAAAATCAAGAGGATAAAATATGAACTAGAGAATATTTAAAGACTAAATAAGAGTAATTAGTATTTGGCATAAGATACTATTGTAGTTAGTAAGATGCCAATGGATCCTAAGACCATGTGTCTAAAAGTCAAAAAGTGGAGTTGTCTTTTAGGATAGCAACCACCACCTATAAATATTGGATGTTGGAAGTGAGAAATATCTTACTCCATACTTTCTTTGTGTACAACCTTGCTAATGCTAAGTGTTCTGACTTCATAATGTTTGTTTTTCAATGATAATGACATTAAATATTTATAACTAATAAAAATTGTCTCTCAAATGTATTATTAACAATTACAAATTAACATCATTGCCTATGCCATTAAATTTGGTGAACAATTCTTGCAAAAACACCATAAACAATAGAACCTTGTTACATGCAAATAGAATAAAGATAAATAAGTTAATAATCGTAAAGTTTTGTTTCCAAATTGGAATAGATCATGGATGGCCAAGAAAATGCTAGGCCCTAGACATATACTATCCATATTATCCATATTGTGGAATCTATTGTTTCTTCCTAATAATGTAATTATGTATTCTAATAACCAAAACACACAAACAAAGAACCAAAAAAAATGAAAAGCCACCTTGCAATATGTTAACCACCTCAGATTACATAGATGGTTGGACTGAATTAGGGTTTGTTCTACTCAGATGGGGCACACAGGAAATGAAACTGTACATGAGTTGGATGGACAGTAATTCTACCAAAGTGCTTCAGCTGTTCCCTCACAAATCAAATGTACATGCATTCACACATTCATTCAAATCAAAATACACCAGTGATCTGTCGCCGCAGTAACAGCAACTATATAACCAAAATAGCTGAAGGAAAAAAAAAAGGTGATGGTCACCTTCTTGTGTCGCTCACTTGACGGCGTTCAAATTCGTTGGACCTCCACGTTCAGGGCCAGTGATGGGAGGGTCGCACACATGGCATTGATAGCAAAGGAAAGCCAGATGGACTTTAGAGATGTCGTAACCCCTCTTTTGTTTTTCCTAAACAAGGCAGCAGGGATGCTCGGCAGAAAGCTGCAAGGCGAGCGGGAAATTTATGGAGCCGAGATAAACATGCGGATACTACCGCTCTGCAGCCGCCTGGATCTTGATACCGAGCCCCGTTTCTATTTCCTCAGTCACTGCCGATGCTCCCACCCACCAGCTGAATCCGACCAGGCACCACGTTGTTCTCCTTCACAGACACACACTCACACAGTGAAATCCAGTCGCGAGAGGGATTACTAAATTGTTTTCACTAGATTTGGTGATGTCCTGCCTCTCTAGCACCTAGACTCTCCGAAGGTCCCTCCCACATACCCCTTTATTTCGCATGGTCAGCACTGTTTAACGGAGTATATATTTGTACCAACTTGTTTCGATGGTTGTAGTTTGGAGTATGTAAACATGTACCATGTGTGGGTCTAGGGTAGTATTAGATCAAGAGGTTGAAGTTAAACAAACGTAATGCACAAACATGGGGCTTGACACCAAAAAAGATTGCACGGCCTCAAAGGTTGGCTTCGAAGTAAAACAAAGTTTTTGTTTTTCAGTCCAAATTTAGGTTTTGACTCTGTGAAGTTCTTTTCAGCCACCTCCCTACTTACCTACCAATCAAAAGGGAACACATCCCTCTTCAATTGCCTTCAGCTTTACAGTCAGTGAAAAGCAGCCTTGCCCTTTAAACCCTGCAGTCCTAGCGACGACGTGATGGTATGCATGGGGGATGCCAGCAAGCAGCCTCATTAGGTAGTGAGTACGTTTGTGGATTTTCGATGGAGGGGCGACGGATCACACGGCTCTTTTGAAATTTTAGGCTGGCGGAAATCGAAAGTTGCCGTATCTAAACTTGCCTAGAAGCGATCAGTCCTGCGGATAGGACGTGTAACGATTGTGCAAGAGATTCGAACATGACCTGAGGAAGACTGAAATTGCGAAATGGTTTTTCCTCCCGTCAAGCACCGACCCCATCCCACTCTGGTAGTAATCTTTCTTTTGAGCATCAGCAATTACATAGGCTACGTAGTGGAAGGTAGTTTACTAACAATGCACGGCTTTCGTGGAGTGGTTTGCATTTTTTTCAATGGCTACGGCCGCTCTAAAGGGACCCTTCAGCACTAACAGCTCTATGTACAGAATTGGAATCTTATGGGCTTCATCGTACGCATCACAATTAGATCGTGGAAGCTTTTCCTGCATTGTTCTCTGCTTGGATCCAGTGTCAGTCCCCACTGGTTGTCGGTTATCCACTACCACACTGTGCAACACAAGACGATTGTTGAATAATTCAGCAGTGAATCTGATTGGTGAGTGTAAGGCTTGAGTTATTGATCACACACTGGAATTTTAGCTGTCATTGCTGTTTATGCGTGCCAGATTGATAGTGACTATGAGAAGTTCTCCCAAGATGGTAGAATGGATTTCCCCAATCGAGGAGAGGCCGGTCGTTTCTCCTGTGACAGTCGCTTACCGATGAAGAAGCTGGAGCGTAGCATAAATCACTTCACTTATGACCCGTCAAGTCTCTGGTTTTAAGCAGCGTTCCATGGACGAGGCCATAGTGCTCTTCGACGATATTATTTTGGGATACGAGATTGAGGAGGAGGACGGAGAGAGCAGTACAGAAAACGCCTGGATAACATAGGTAGATTTGCTTCAGCATTCCAATGGCGACAACCCTAGAGTCCGTGAGCTGCCACAGAAGTCTATCACTGGGAAAGCAACCAATGGCTTGCAGACCAGCAGAAAATCACAATTACAACGAGATCATTTGAATCTCAACAATGAACCTGCAAGGTTAAGCAACTACCACATTCCAACGCCCTTTTCGTGTGGAGAACTTGCTATTGAGCGGACATCATCCGCTTCGTCTTCTTGGTCTTCACTGGAAACACCTCTCAACGAGGAATACAGTGATTACAGTGAAACAGAACAGAGATTTCTCTCGATCAACAGGGATTACGCGGAGTCCTTGACACTTGAAATGGTTAGAAGAGAAGAATATCCCCAATTGGGCTTGCAGCGGCAAACATACATGGACTACGCGAACTTCGCACTCGCCCCTAAGTTTCAGGTCAGTGTCTCTGAGAACGATTACGAGTGTATTCCTCAGAGCTTTGTTGACTAGCTCAGTTTCTCGATGTTTCAGCACATGCTATTGTTCGTTGAAATCCTTTACGAAGTGCTGAAGGCCATGACTGGGTTCTCACTGAACCTGCTCTGCGTGAAATTGCATACAGGGGAGCACACGAGAATCGTAATGGCATAGGAACATGATCTCGGAGCAAATTCGAAAAGTCATCTGTCCAGGCACGTGTCAGATGTGCACGCCAGTTTGTTAAGAATGTTCAACACAGCGAAATCCGCCTACTCCGTCGTGTTTACGACGAGCTTCCGAACTGCGTACCGTTTGGTGGCGAATGCTTATCCTTTTCGCAAAGGAAGTCCGCTTCTGGTATGCCAAGATAACCACGCATGTGTTCGACAGGTACGATTCTCCTCTGCGAAACTTGCAATCCGATTTAAGTTCCCGACGATTCTTACATTGAAGATTCATGTGGAAGTTCGTCGAAGAACTCAGTTGAAGGATCCATGACTGACCTTGCAGTTACTACCACAAATATGTAATGTTCGCAGCTTATAAATTCTGCCGTAAATTTGGGAGCGCAACCTATTTTAGCCCCTCTTGGCGAGAACGACCTTTGCATGACGGAATCCAACTTGAAGCCCCTTTTGAAGCGTCGATTCTTCCATCGAAGCGGCAGCCTCGTTGTGTATCCGGCCCAATCAAACATTACTGGAATCCGTCATTCCTTAGAATGGATTTTGAGAGCTCAAAAGTTCAACTGGCAAGTGCTACTTGACGTCTCCACCTTTCTACCTACGAGTCAGTTAGATTTGTCACACTATCAGCCAGATTTTGTGGTTGGATCGTTCGAAAACATGGTAGAATATCCATCCGGCATGGGGTATGTACTCGTCAAGAGATCAAGTTTCTGTGTTTCTGTTTACCGATTCCCGGAAGCAGACTCCACCATCACACTCATTCCAAAGGCACCGGAATGGCGAGGAGAAGACTACCACATTGTCTGCGAAGATGAAAGCCCGCCGCTGCTGTTATTCGCCAGCATCAATTTTGGCCTCCAGCACTTGCAAACACTTGGACTCGGCTTAATCGATCAGCGTGTGAAGGTCCTGGTACATTGGATAGTTCACAACCTGAAGTCGCTGCGACATGAGGACGAGTTTTGGCACTTGGTAAATGTATACAGCCCCTTCACGGAAAAAAATCGTGGCAACATCATCTCGTTCAATGTGCTTGAAAACAGCGGAGAGCATGTCAAACCAACGTTAGTGAAAAAATTAGCGGCCAAGTACCGAATCGCTCTTGGAGTTGCGACATGCATCAACCCGGGTGTGGCAAATCTCCTCGGCTCTCCGAAAGAGAGGAAGAGGAACCTTGGAGTCTTCAGTGAGCGATACTCTTCAAGATTCACGTGCGTTCAAGTATCCTTAGGCCCTATCTCCAACTTTGAGGATGCTTACAGGCTCGTGCAGTTCTTATTGCAGTTCAGGAACCCTGAATTTGTGCCCACACAATTGACAAAGCTAAAAGAACAGACGCTCTCTGTACAAACGGCTCTGAGACGCCAATCAATATGAGTGTTTGCTGCCATCAAAACTCTCTGCGATTCAAAGTGTCATGTCATCTGTGAGTAGAGCGATATACAGCGGCCCGATTGATGGTCCTCTTCAACGCTTGTTACCTTGAAGAGTCACAGCAACTTCCATCGATATTTTTCCTTTTCATAGAATCGGACCCATCTCAATTCGAGGAATGATGGACAATGACGACCCAAATGCATAGTACAGGTCACGCATCGAATGAAAACTTGTTACATAGCGTCACCACTTACAGCAATCACAGGTCCTTGCCAGGACTTGATAGATCCTTCTACCCATGCTGAGCGAGTCCATGTTCTCATTTCCAAGCAAAGGTCGATGATCGAAAGGGCAGAAAGGTAATTCTACCTCCTCCCCTACACTCACAATCCACATCGTCAATCAACTACTGCACATCACTTCTCCACTCTGCTCTGCTGTACAATAGAAAGTCCCAACTTGCTTATACTGATTCACACCTCTTGCTTGGTGCAGACACCATGTGTAGTGTCGGCACTGTGTAATACTGGCCACATGGGCCGGTAAACGCAGCATCGTTCATAACTCTGGCTGCATATAATAATTTTGCATCAGAAAACACATGTATATTACAATAATTCATTGGATCATTCAGATGTGAGTGGTATTCTCCACACCGAGATTCGCCGTTCTTCCTGCTGAACTGTTACGCCCACATTGAAAACCAACTGAAGATTCTTGCATTCGTTGGATTTGTTGCTGTTGACTATTCGGATCATGTCTTGGGTTTTCATGGTTTAGGTTGCGAATTGCATGATGCATTAGTGGTGAGTGAAGAGTCTGTTAGTTCAAGTCACTGTCTGTTCAGACTGCCGCGTCGGGTCATTCCCCCACGTATCTAGATCCTTGTATCTTAGATTTTGTTTTGTTTTGTTTGTTGCTGTTATCATTATATTCTGATATGCAAGAAAAAGAATAAAATTCTATCTTAAGGATTTGAATGCACAAGCTTAAACATCACATAAAAAACTAGGTCATGGCAATAAATTGTCTATGCATCCAATAACTTAGGAGGAACAATCACATCGATGGATGAGGTCCGTTTGACGATGACAAGCGATGCGAAACGGACCAGCAAATAAACGAACCAACAACCTAACGAAGTTTTCAAATCGGGAGCGTCAGACTTGCACGTTCCGCAGAAGGTCTAATCCGGAGACGTTGTTGGTGTGGCCTAAACGATGGTGTTGCCCATATGCACGCAATATTACTTTGCCTACCTTCGGTAATGAAACCTCATTCTGTGGTAGCGCAGCGCACTCTGAGCTGTGTGGTGGAGGGTCTAGGGCTCTCCAACTAGACAGTCTGTCTCTCGATACTGCGTCGATGATGTTTGCTTTCTGCCTTTTGTGTCGGGAGGCAACCCTCGTCACTACGTGAGCTAGAAACCTCCCAACTTAATCGACTGGCTCAAGGCACCTCAGCCGTCAGATCTCAAGCTTTATCCTGGCCGTTACCCACACCCATACACAATTGATAATGATTTTCAACTCTGTTATTTTTTTATTTGTGTTTTTTTTAGGAATATTCGTATTTTCATGAAATAATTCCTACCAGTTTAAAAATATGGGAATCCTTCAGATTCTACTCCTGATTTTAGAAGATATTTTATGTAAGTAATAAGAAAAAATATCATGTATACTCCTCAAATATGTTGAAATACCACAAATACCCTTGTATTCTTGATACTAGCAAATGTATCCCTCAAATTTGTGATAATAGCAAATGTAATCTTATTAATGCTAACATATCACCAACATTCTTTGTTTGATCATCATTTGGGGTTCAAATCATAAGACATGCAGATATTGTCATGCTTCTTTTCAACCTAGAGTACAAATATAGAGGGGGCTTGCTTTTGGAGCAATTTGTCAACCTTGCAAGCTCTTATTGTCACCTGGGCAGTACAAGGAGTTTGCTTGTTTAGAAGCAACTTTGGATGTGTTATTGTAGAAAGAGATTGAAGGATTTATTTGCCAGGTTATATGTTGAGTTTGTCAAGACACTCTTATCTCTTCAATTGATTTTTAACAATGATGATCATTTAATTGTAGTAGTCCATCAACTTCCAACTTAATTAGAAGATATCAAGTTGAATAATTCACCTTTAAATATTGCTATTGCTTCTAATTAAGATGCATAAGCTTTATAAATTAGATTTTGACATAGATATTTTGATAATTACTTTGTACTATCTTTTAAGTGAGGAAATCTAGCTTTAAGATGATGATAATTTACTAAACTAGAGTCAAATTTCAATCCATTTGCTGTGTTTTTACAACAATGGAGGTATAACCATTCATAATCCACATTCATCAAGTTATTCAAGCAAAGGTCAAATAATATCTTACAATAGTGATAAAAATAATGTAGCATAACACCTCTAATATATGGATTTGATTAACTTTGCAAATACACTATGACAACATTACCAACTTTCAAATCTACCACTGACAAATTTATAATGGCTTTTGGATTTATCAAACACATAAATTTTATAGAATATACCATAAGGTGTCACCAAAAATCTACAATGTGAAGCATGGTTTGTAAATTAGCAAGACAAAAAAAGGCAAGATTTTTCCAACTTTTAAAAAGCTAAAAAGAGATCTAGAAAAATCTACATAAGCTATAGTTTGGGCCTCTAATGACAAATAAACAAGGAATGTTGGTGATATCTTATCACTAAGAAGGATATATTTGCTATTATCAAGAATACATGGATATTTTTGATATTTCAACATATTTGAGGGATATATGATATTTTTCTAAGTAATAATAGTATTTTTTATTATAAATATATTTTAATAGAAATAATCATATTTCAATTATTTTAATTACTATTGCTTATTTCTTTGTATTAGAGTTTTAAGATATTTCTTATTTTTAATGTGTAGGATTAAAAAAAAATAAAGAATACTATATATATAAAAACATTTAAGTGCCATTATTTTTATTAATACATGGTGTATAGAAGTGCATGCATTCTTGTAAGTACATATTAAAAATAAATAAATCAAATATTCTATTAATATCTCATTAAAAAATATACCAAGATAAAATTGTTTCTTATACAAAGAATTCAAAACCTAACTTCAGATTGTACACAATAAAGATAGCAATAATATTTATGGTTATCTTTGTAAATAAGATTTAAAATCAAATAAAAATAAACATCCATCATGGATTGTAATTAGGATCCAAAATTAGACTTAATTTGATTAATCTTTATTTTTTTCACCAATTTATTTAAATAATATTTTTATAATAAGATTACTTGTATTTATAAGATGCAAGATACTACAATGTGATATATATTGTTCTTGATTGTGTAAAAAAATAACATAGAGATAAATTAATACACAAAAGATGGTATTTAATACTTATGAAGGTTTGAATTTTCAATCAACTTTCAATCATATTAAATCAATTTTGAATATATATTTTTTAAATATTTTTTTAGAGAAAAAATTAAAGAATAAATTTTTTGAATTATAAATTTTTTTGCTAGAAATAAAATATATTATAAATATTAAGTAATATTTTATATAAAAATAAAAATAAATATTCTTTGAAGCAGGAGTGATAGTTGAAAATCAAATTAAGTGGTTTTTTCAAAATACTATAATGTAATCAAAGAGTATTTTTATAAAATCTTTCAACTTTATAAAAGAAAATTTATTAAAGACTCTTAAGAAATTATTATGATAAAAAAGCTAAATAAAATAAATTAAAATTTTAAAAAAATTATATATTATCTAATACATTATTAAATAGAATTTATTTGGTGGTAATAGTGTTATAGATAGAAATAACACTTATGATTACTTAGATAAGAGAAATTAAGTAGAAATAAATAAAATTATATAAATTATATAATATCTTTTGGAAAATCTTTTTAGAAACTTTATAGATGTAGATTTGACTTTATACATATATATAGGTGATTAATAGATTAAAAACTTAGTCAACAAATTGGCAACATATAGCACATGGTTGCTACTTGTGGTAGAAGTTGGCCATGTGGTGCATATATAAGAAACTTATTTACACATTAGATACATATCTTGTAAGTTGGATACATGTCCTATAGAATATTGCCACATATTTTTTTAATTAAATAGTATATATAGAAGCGAGAATGAAGTCTTTATCATTCTTTTTAATATCTCTTTTGGTTCCAATCTAGTTTCAAAAGTCTATAGCTTTTTTGACTTAGTAATAGCTATTTGGATTTCTTCTTAAATATATATAATTTTTCGTTCTTTTTTTATTGTCTTCCTTTTACATATACTTCACATGTTTATTTTTATTCTTTAAATTCTTATCTTTAACAACTTAATAAAAATGTACTTACAATATCAAAGCTTTGTCTTTTTTTTAATTAAAGATAGATTATTCTTTTTTCTTGATAAGATATAAGTCTATTAGAAATTTTGAATTACCTACTTCTAAATTAATATTATTTTTAGAATTTTATTTGTTCTTTAATTATCATTTGTATTGATTTTAAATAATATTAGATATCTTATTTTTTATTACATTATAATAGCAAAGCTTCTTGAAATGAAGAATACAATGGCAAAAATATAAGAACAAATAAAGGAATTAATGCTTGCAATGTATCAACTCATTTTACTACCACAAAGAATAATAAGGTTGATTGCAAGTAAAGATAAAAAGATGATTAGAGGTGCTTTAATATCTATATTAAATTATAATATTTTTTCTCTAGTAGAATATTTTTTAAACATCAAAAAACTAAAAATTATCTTATTTGAGAAGTATAATGATATAAAGTTAAAGTTTTAAGGATTGATCAATCATGTGAAATTTATGATTATACTTCAATCTCAAAGTTATCTAATTCTATGATCATAAATCAAGTTTATAAAAATACTACTTTAAAGTTCAATTTTATTATAGTTTTTATCTTTTTTAAATAATATGTTCTAATATTGAATAATTTAGAGGTTTATTTTA